TTTTTTTTTTTTTTTTTTTTTTTGGCCTTGCCCTTTAATAATGAAATATCAGGGAAAACATTGTACAAAAAATAAGGTACCAAAAACATATTGGTGCTCGGTGGTTGTCTTGGGTGACTGGCTGATAGACTTTTTCTACTGGATAACTTTCTGTAAAGTCTGAAAACACTCAAGGGGAGATGGAGCTCAGTGTAGGGCCCTGGCCCTGACTCCAGCCTTTCCTCCTGTGTTTTCCCCTTGGGCCCGGGCCAGTGCTGAGCAGACAGTGGTGGTGGCCTTTCCTCGGCCTCTTTCTTTCACAGGAAAAGCATGTTCCTGTTCGCTTTCAGGAAGCCTACACTGTGGTTTTGATATAATGACAGTCATGCAGAAATTTCCCAATGAGAACTGGCTCACCGTTGCTTAACCGTCCTCTCCCTCCCTTCCTGGTCTCACTGGCACCCGGCACACCGGCTCGCAGAGTGACAGCCTGCTGTCCATTTTCACAGCACTGGCTGGGGACTCCAACATTCCCCAGGGGCCTCCATGGTCCATTCTGTGCTGCATTTCGTTATCACTGCTGGATTGAGTGCAAGAAAGTGTATTTTCCTCCAAGCGGTGGCCCAATCGGGCTTCAGCCAAACAGTGAAAATTGGCAGTTTCTGTTTCTTTCCCTTCTATTGATTTCTTTACAATGTGGGAAACTGGGGACCAAAGTGTTTCCAGGAACTGCAGTACCACTGGGGGTCCCAGGAAGGAGCATGCAGGCTACCAGCGGTTCCCCTCCACTGAAGGTCCCTCGGGGGGGGGGAAGGCTGCCCCCAGTCCTGCTCAGGACAGCAGTCTAGAGGGACCTAGCATCTAGCACTGCCATTTGTCACCAGTAGTGTGTTCTGAAAATGCCCTTTAACTTCTCACAAGAGATTTCCTGGAAGGAAATTCCTCCTAGGAGGTTCTAGTTCCCAGAGGAGGGGCTTCAGATATGGTGCAGTGGTAGGGCACATGTCTGCTATGCCCAAGGTCCAAGGTTCAAACCCCAGTGCCATGAAACTTTAAAAGATTGAAAAAAAAAAAAACCTGAGAGGAGAAATCAATAGGCTCCCTCAACATACTCTCATGAAACTCTGTGACCACTCCAAAATCCTAGGTCTCTTTCAAGTTGCAACAAAATATCAAATAGGCACAAATGCAAACTATTCCTAACCACTGCTGCGGCCTGTGCTCCACCCCTAGGTAGCCAATAGCCTTCAGACACTCAAGGTAACAGGTCAACAGGAAGTGAAAGGGAGCATCACTTTCTGGAACTTTCTGGAGCCCTCAGGGATGGGTGGCATTTCCGCTGTGCCTGTCTCCTGGGCTCCGTCCCTATCAGCTCACTTGGTGTCTGACACAAATTCCTGGACGTGGAGTCAGCAGCTGTGATATAGGTGGGGTGGCGGGGACTGGACATCTGTGGGACACCGCTCTGGGAAAAGGTGACAATAGTGTCCCCTCTGTGTGGACCCAGTGTGGGGAACATGTGGCAGTTTGGTTAGCGTTAGGAAAAGGTGTCCCTTTTCAGATGCAGCCCGAGCCACCAGCCCTCGGCCCCCAGTGCTAGCCCTGGGGTCGGAGCAGCCCCAGGCTGGGCCATTTCTTTTCTCCTCTGTCACTGACAGCTGCACAAGCTGTCCCCCACACATCCTGAGCACCCGCTGTGTGGAGAGTCTGTGCCCAACTTGGTGAGGGCGCCCTGCCCGCGGCCATCTGTGACCCCACAGGAAAAGAGGCTGAGGAAGCTGGAGAGCTACTCAGGGAAAAGGGAGCAGGAAGCAGGAGGGACTGAGTGTGGCCGACTGTGCCGGCTCTGATGAGTGCCAGGGCAGTTTCTCCAGAAGGCTCTTGGCACAGAAAGATCTTGGCCAGGATTTGGCCCATTTTGAGCATCTCGATTTTATCCGTGGATCTTAGTTAGAATCAACCTTACACCTGGCCCCTGTGCCTGGGAATGCTACCCTTGTAAGAACGGCCCATGATTTTATGAAAATTAGCATTACTAATATACTATATTGCATTAATCATCCAGATATCAACAAATACTATAATATCAATTTACCCAAATGCTAGATACATGTTAGATTTTCTCTTCTCCTGCCTACTGTTAGATTTCTTTTTTCTTTTTTTTTTTTGCTTTGATTGAAATATTTCCATCCTATAAGCTCTTAAATTGTAAGTCACCAGACGTGTGCTGTGAAGGGAGCGCCTCTGTACATACTGGTACCAGAATTTAATTGTGATACCAGCCTGTTTTTCTTACTTTCACAATAAGAATTCAAGGGTTCTTACAATTCATTAGCTAAATCTACAAAAATCTCCCCTCTTATTGCTAGATATTTTCAGTGGATAAAATGACATATTTTCAAAGCACAAAGAAATTAGACCAGCATGCCTAAACATGGTTTGGTATTGAGGTTAAAAAAAAAAAACAGTGATCACATTAATAAATACAAAATGCACATGTGTTTCTCACTAAAGTAGGATCTGAAGATCGCCTTTGAGGCTGAGATCTTACCCTGCTTTAAACAGTCTGGCATAGACCACAATGCTTACCACCTACTTGTTGAATTTGGTTAAAAATTTAAAGGCAGGTTAAGAAAACATTGATCTGAACCTCAAAATATAACACATTAGGAACAGAGGTGGGAAAAAGTCAAATAACTTTTAAAGAAAACATTTTCTAAGTGCTAAGAGAAGTTTTGAAAGAAGTTTCAGATTTCTGAGTACTTACGCTTGAGAAGTAGTTTCAGCGTGGGACTGCGTGTGGCAGGGTGAGGATCCTGCTACAGAAGTGAGAGGCGGTGACAGCAGGCGGGAGAGGATGGGTCCTTGGTTGCTGCGCTGCGGGCTTTGATTGGCCGCGGCCAGGCAAGCAGACCTGACTGCAGCCGGTTCCTTTGCCCCTTGAGAGGGAGGCGTGAGGCTGTTCCCCTTCTCACACTGAGAGAAGTACACCCATGCATCTTTCGTTTAGGAAGGACAAGATTTGATTATGTAGTTTGATTAGTTTTGCATGTCCCAAAAAGCTTTACTGATTTTTAAATTTTACTTTCCTCCTGTACTATACAAATACTGCTGTTTGGTGCATATTTCTTGCTGCATTTTGATTGTGGAACTTGGACAAGCCAGCTTACCTGGGCTCCACACCTGAGCGCATACCTGTTTTCTTTGTGTCACTTTGGCTCCCTGACACAGGCTGAATGCGTCTTGTGTGTCAGGCTTGGTTCTAAATGCTTTTTATTTGTGTTGTTTTGGGGGATTTTCCCACAATTCTGCGTGGTGGCACAGTCATCGCTCCATTTGCCTGACCAGGAAACTGAGGCTGGGAACTGTTAAGTAGCTGGGAGGTGGCAGCGAGGAATTGGCCGAGTGGGGACTCTGTTTATCTGTGTCACAAACTCCACACACTCTTTCCGTGCAACTTCATAGGACAGCTTGGGCCAGCAGGAAAGTCTTCCCAGTTTAATAACCTCGCCACGGTACCAGCAAGGTGGCCTCACACTGCTGAGGAAGGTACTCTGGACTCACCCCGGCCTGGCCAGACCCCAGACCAAGCCACACTTAGCCCTGGGTGCTGAGAGTGTAACATAGTGAACTCTGGGTCCTGTTTTCCAGAAGAGTGGGGTTAAAGTCTCCCCTGAGGCAGCACAATAAGGAAGAGCTCTCTGGCTTGGGGTCAGGAAAGGAATTTCAAAATGACCATTCTGCTTTTGGTTCCATTTCTGATTTCTTTACCTCTTCTGCCTGCAAAGCCCATTCCTGTGCTCAGCAGTTAGAATATACAGACTCACAAATAATGGCTGTGATCTTTACATTTGTTGTAATTTTGTCCTTTGGGGATTAAATTAGGAAATCAGAAATTAAACTACTGAGACAGGCATGATGGCACACACTTGTAATTCCAGCAATTAGGAGGCTGAAGCAGGAGGATCACTGAGAGTTCCAGGCCAACCTGGGCTACACAGTGAGTTCAAGGCCAGCGTGGACTACACAGCAAGACCCTGTCTCAAAAACTGAAAAAGAAAAAAAAAAATCCAATTATACTCGAGCATTTTAAAGGGAGGAAATGCAAATAATACTGTAATAATAGTAAGGAGGAGGAGGAGGAGTAAAGAAAAGAGGTACAGGGAAATTGGATGGAATGTACTGAAAACCGCTGTAGTTTGGATCTGAGCTGACAGGAGATAAAATCCTAGATGACTCATTGGCTGGTTAGGTGACCTCTGAAAGCCAAATCAAGAATGTGATTGATCTTTCTTCAAGGCGAAGGGGGTTAAGAGGTGGAGGGGAGGAGGGAAAAGAGGAAGTGGGCTGTGCTGTGCAGTAGCAGCTCCTCCCAGGAATGCAAACACCGGCTAATGACAAAAGAACCTGAGCTGGTTTGCTTCACCTCTAAAACTGGGAAAATAAGGCCCTCCCGCCAAAGTCATTAAGAGGTCATGGATGATGCCTGGTTCTGTGTTGCTTTTCGAAGGTTTCAACTGAACATTCACGGCACTCTCATTGCCGGAAGCTGCCAAGCCCCCTAAATCACAAAGCCTTGCACCCTGCAACCTGGCCTTCACACGGAGAGGGAAGCTTTGGGTGAGGCAAGGTGACAAGAGAGGATCGGGGATGATCAGTCGCACAGAGAGAGCCTGAGGCCGGGCGACAGGTCGGCCTGAAAGCGCACCTCTCACCTGAGACCCTTGGCCCGGTTCTCACCTCTTCACCCTGTGTTTTGCAGCTCGCTGTGCTCACTTCTCAGCTGTCGTTCAGCTCCTCCCTGCTCACCACAGCCTATCCTTTCTGAGTCAACATTTTCCCAGAGCGATTCAAAAGTGTGGAAGTGCAGCTGATCCAGTATTGTTACTCATGGAAATTTATGTTAAGAAAATGTATACTCTCCAAACCTCGCATCTCTTAAGTATTATTTATTTCAGTATAAAAATGTAAAAATTAAAGCCACATGTGGTGACCCATGCCTACAATCCCAGCACTCAGGAGGCTGAGGCAGGAGAATCAAAAATTTATTATCACCGTGGGCTCCATGGCAAGACCCTGTCTCAACAACAGCTGGGTGTGGGCGGCACACGCCTGTAATCCCAGCACTTCAGAGGCTGAGCCAGAAGGACTGATGGGAATTTAAAGTCAGCCTGGGCTACGGCGTGAGTTCAAATCCAGCCAGAAGTACAGAGCAAGACCCTGTCTCAAGTACCAAGCAACAATAAAACAAAAAATATAAATTTAAATGATCAGCAATGGGGAACTGTTGGATAATTTAGAGAACGTGCATAAGAAGAAATGATTAAGCCATTAAAATATTTGATAACAAGGTAGCAGCAGGGCAGTGTGGGATGGAGTTGAACTGTGGTATTAGCTGGTGACTGGATCTGTGAGAGGAAAGAGCAAGAGGGCTGGGCTGGATCCCTGAGAACACAGCAGGTGAAACCTATGGCTGGGCCTGCCCTTCACAGCTGTGAGCTTGGCTGTCCTGAGTGTGTCCTTCAAAGCTAAGTAACACGCAACTCAGCTCAGCCAACCACAGCTCCGGCCTCGGAATTAGACACAGGATGTGGCCTGGTGCGGTGGTGCATGCCTGTAATGCCTGTACTCAGAAGGCTGAGGCAGGACGGACACCACAAAGTCAAGGCCAGCCACAGGCTAGGCAACTGCTCTACCACTGAGCTGCACTCCTAGCCCATTAAATATTTTAAGATTTGAAGCAATTTTAGACTTAACAGGAAAGTTGCAAAGATAAGAGTTTCTATATGTCCTTCACCTTGTATCCCCTAACCACGGTATACTAATTTAAAACAGGAAATTAAAAGAGTTTTTAAAAGCCAGGAAATTAACAAAGTAGGAGCACTATGTGAGTCTGAAGAGTTTTCCCATAAGCGTCCTTTTCCTGTTTGAGCTGTGCCCAGGGCTCCACATTGCATTTAGTCACATTTCTCTGTTCTCTTTCAGACTGGGGAAATTCTGAAGTTTTTCCTTGTCTTTCACAAGTGTGGCAAGAGCACCGGGTCTGTTTTGTGGAATGTCTTTCAGTCTGTGCTCCTCTGACTTTCTCTCAGTGATCACCCAAGCGCAGTCGCGTCCCTGTGTCCTGTTCCTGGTGATGGTGACCTGGATCACTTAGCTAAGTCCCCTGGTCAGTAACTACTTCCTCATTGGAATCAGCCTTTGGAGGAACTGTTTCTGGGAAAATACTCTGTTTCTCCTTTCTCTTTCACTTACTAATTTTAGTATGTGTTCATTGGTAGCTCTTGCCTGCAAGGGAAGTTTTCATTTTCTTCTGCAAGAAAAAAAATCTCTCCTTTCCCCATTTATTTACTCATTAAATAATTTCTATAAATATAGAGTTATAGGAAGATATTTATTTTATTTTATTCTAAGGATTATAATCTAATTCTATCATTTCTTTGTTTTTTTATCGGTACATTTTAGGTATGCAGTATGATGACATTCATCATTGGGAACTTGTACCCGTACATGATGTATCTTGGTTCTTATTTCTTCCCCATTCTCCTGCCCTCTGTTTAACCCCTCCAACCCTCCCTATTTACAGACTTTGTTTCTGTTTTTTCCTTTTCTCATATTTTTTTCTTTCTCTTCTTTCCTTTCCCCTACCCCTTTAGACCTTTTCTTCCTATTTCACATTATCAATTATATGTTTTGATCCTTATTTACACTTAGTTTTTCACACCAGAGGGAGAGAAACTATTTGGTATTTACATATGTGTGTCCTATGTATTTCACTTAAGAGTATGGCCTCAATGTGCATCCATTTAGCTATAAAAGTCTCTAGTTTCTCATTCTTTATGGCTGAGTAGTACTCTATTTTATAATTTAAAAAAACACATCTTCTTTATGCAGTCTCCAGTCGATGGGCAACTGGGCTGTTTCCAAGCTTTAGCTATTACAAACTGTGCTGCTAAGAATATGGCTGGGCGTAGTGGTGCACACCTGTAATCCCAGCACTCGGGAGGCTGAGGCAGGAGGATTGCTGTGAGTTCGAGACCAGCCTGGGCTACATAGTGAGTTCCAGGTCAGTCTCAACTACATAGTGAGATCCTGCCTCAAACCACCCCCCCAAAAAAGAATATGGGTGCCTATATATCGCTGTGGTATGATTCTTTTAAGTCTTTTGGGAAGATACCCAGCAGAGGAATAGCTGGGTCAAAGGGAACCTCTAACCCTAGTACTTTGAGGTATCTCCATGTTGATTTCCACAGTGCTTGGTCACTCCCACCAACAATGGAGAAGTTTCCTTTCTCCCCACAACCCCACCAACATTTGTTATTGGTTGATTTCTTGATAGCAGCCGTTCTTTCTGGGGTGAGGTGGAGTCTCAGTGTTGTTTTCTTTATTTTTTTTACTGCTACAATTGTCCAGTCTGAGCATTTAGAGTCCATGTCCTTCAAAGTGTCCGCCGTGTACTTCCTGTACTCCGGCAAGATACTCCAGGTTCATCTTTCATTATCCTGCTCCAGACCACAACTGGTCTCTTCCCCAAGGATCCCTGATTCCTTTTACTGGGGAATGACATTTGGAGACTGAGATCTGCTAGGCTTACTGTTGCTTTTCAGCCCTTCAGTACAGCTAAGATAGTCCCATGCATTTGCATACACGCATCTCTACCTAAGTGTCTCTCTGAATCATGACTTCATACTGAGAGCTCCAGTACCAGTTCAACACCACAAGGGTTAATTCTAGCCTCCTTCGTGGGCTTATTTGTAACTTCGTCCTCAGACAGCAAAAAATCTGATTCTCCAGAAAGGTCACAATAGTTGCATTTCCACTAAAAGTGTGCGAAAGTATATGTTTTTCTTCTCACCAGCAACACAATGCTTTGCATAGTTTTAAATTTTTGCCAATTTGATAAATGAAAAATGGTAAATCGGCATTGTTTCCACTCGCACCTAGAAGTCCCTTTCAGATTTAGTGATAAAACTGATTGGACTGTTGAGGTCACATTCCCCTCCTTCTTTTTCACATGGTTTAATTTGCATTTTTCTGCTTTTGAGTTTGAACTTTCTTCATTTTGTAGACTATTTTGCATCTTATTTTTGTGTGCAAATTGTCCTTTTATGTCTTTTTATCATTTGTAATTGTTTCTTTACCTCAGTGGTTTATAAATTAGGGATAGTAACCCTTTACAACATATGTTACAAATCTTTTTTCCTATCTTGTCAGCTGTCTTTGTTTATGGTGTCTTTATTTTTGCTATGCAATTAAAAAACTTATGTACTCAAATTTATGACTCTTTTATTGCCTTTAGATTTTGAGTCAGTCTAAAAACCTTTTTTCTTTACTGAGATTAATGAGGAAGTTAACAATGTTTTCTTCTAGTACTTCCATGTTTTCATTTTTTCCCATTGAGATCCCTGACTCATGTGGAGTCTATTACTCTACATTGTGTGAAATTTTTCTCCCAGATGACGACCCAGTTTAAAAAATTTTACTAAAATGTCCATCTTTGCTCCAGGAATTTATGACGTTACTTTTATGTACCAAGTTATTACATTACTTTTCTTTATGTACGAAGTGCTTAAATTTGATGAACACACATCAGGAAGAGAGAAATAAGACAAGAAAAGATGATTATTTTTACTCCATCACCTTTTCAGTCTTGGTCTCGATGTTTAATCTCTGATACTATTTATGACTTTTCTCTTTTCTCTTTCATTCACTGTATTTTCTATCTTTCTCTGATCCTTCCCCAAAACTACTCATTTGACCTGAAAGTCACTTTACAGAGCTGAATTTAAATATATGACATATGTTTATATCTGAGTTTTAAAAATGCCTTTGCATTAGATTTCCCTAAAAGGCCAGGTGGAATTCCCAGCCATGCAAAGAGAAGAGAGCTGGTATTGCAGTTTGAAATGTGTCCCCTCCCCCATTCTTTGACACCCCTTTTCATCTGATCACGCGCCTATATCCTGTCTGCTTGAATCTGGACTTTGTGAGCTCTCAGCTACAGAATTTGGGAGAAGCAACTCTGGGCCCCTGTCTGGGCCAGGCCTTATGAAACTAGCACCTTCTGTTTCCTGTCCCTTAGGATGCCTGGTCTCAGAATTCAGCAGCCATCAAGAAGCCCACAGGGAGAGGAACCAGGCACTAGATGGTTGCCCAGCTGAGCTCCTGGCCCACAGTTGTCACTCGCTTGCAGCCACTGTGAAGCAGGTCCTCCCTGTCCAGCCACCTGCTGACACCCCCAGTCCTGCATAAGTACAGACTCCTGAGCAAGGCTGACAGTGTCTGGCTTAAGCCAGGAAATGTCGGGTGCTTTATTTCTAGAAATATATAACTGGTAGATCTGAGGGCAAGCAATGAAATATATGAGGTGTGACTGGAATATATAGAGAATATTTACATTTGAAACATTTATTATAACAGGGCATGGGATTTAATTTAGCAGTGCCATGCCTGCCTGGCAAGGGCAATGTCCTGAGTTCAATTCCCAATACCGGAAAAATAATTATTATAATAAAAGAACCATTATCATTAATCCCCCTTAAAATGTTCCCCTTCACTTCAAATATACATGTCCTGATATTCTTGCCACGCTCTGAAGCAGCTCTGGAAGACCTCTTTGAGTGTGTTTAGGAGGTACAATCGACAATGTAGTTAATGCTCCTGCGGAGCGCCATCCAACAGAGAGGCAGGTTCAGGAAAACACCATGCTGTGTCCTCATCCACCTCATTCCCTGGGCCTGGCACTGTGACCTTGGCTCTTCTCCAAAGTCAAAATGACCGTGAAAGGTAAATGTTTTTAATCGATTCAGGACCAGGCAGACCTAACAGCACAACGAAAGACACTAAAGAAAGACTTCTAGCCAGGTGTGGGGGCGCATGCTGTGATCCAAGGACTTGACAGGCTGAGGCCGGAGGATTGGGCCAGGCTGAGTTACCTAATGTGAACTCGTCTCAAAAAAATAAAAAGGAAAACTTCCAGAACTGCTGAAGAAAGCGGCAAGAACGATGGGATTAAATGTAATAAGTGAGGAGGAAGGTTTTGAGGGGATTAATAGTAACGGAGCTTTTACTGCAATGAATTTTGAAAATTTAAACATTCATCATATTTTCTGGTCACACATTGTAAATGTTTTCTAAAAATTCTATATGGAGGAGAGGAATTTGGCATTGAATAAGTTTCCTCTTGTTGGCCGCAGCTCCCCACGAATAATAACAGCCTTAAGAAATGACACAGAAATTAACAATAAAAGAAATTAACCCCATGCCATCACCCATTCATTTCCAAAGAAACGGCGATTTATTCTCCTGCCATCATCTCTAATCTATGATCTATACTTTACTGTCACAAGCAAGGTTCACAGTTCCTTACTCTGGGCTTGGTGTCAATTTGACAGGTGGTTGCTGCATGTAAATGCTCTTTTGTATTGCACTCTAATTTCTTGTCTTATTTCCTCCAGTGTGCCTTTGTCCTCCCATAGCTACCATACCCTTATAAGGGTAAAAGGTGTTCAAGAAAGGATTGTGAAATGCTGAACAAATAAATGAGTAAAAGCAAACAGCACGAATGGATGCTATCGGCCATTTACTTCACACTTAGATTTCTAAGTTACTGTTCTCCTACACGCAGAAAAACATAGAATGTTGAACGTAACTGTGTACAGATAAAGCTGTGGATTGACACAGATTAGTAGCTGCCAACATCTGGAGGGGAGGGGATGGGAAGCGACTGCCAATGAGCATGGGATTTCTGGAAAGAAAGATGTTTCGAAGAGAGTGGGGATGGTCATGTACATGCCAGCCATACTGAGCTCCACAGGGGTGAATGTTGCGGCATGTCAATTATATCTCAATTGTTAAAAAGCCGTGAGGTGCTCAGGTGGGTTGTGCATATCTGTAATACCAGCACTTGGGAGGCTGAGGCAGGAGGATCGCCAAGACCAGCCTGAGTTACACAGTGAGTTCAAGGGCAGCCTGAACCACATGGAGAGACCCCGTCTCAAACCAGAAAAGGCTGGGAGTTATAGATTCTTTTATTCTTGAAAAATAACAGCTGGAGGAAGCTCCATACTCAGCACATTTTTCTGGAATAAGTGGAACTGTTTGTTTGTTTTTAACCAAGGGACAGTTTTTATCTATATTTTCCCAACCCCCAAACTGGCCATCCGATAAACATTTTTATAGAAAAGATAAACATTTCCTGATGAGGACAAGACATCTGGGCTTCTTGGCAGGCTTTTAGCAAGTCCTGCATCCATTAGTCTTAATTCCCTTTTCTTGAACTCTGGGGCTACTGCTCTAAACATGATTAGAAATCATAGCTTTTCCTTTTATTCTGTGCATTTGGGTCTTTTCTACTGAACAAAGTTCAGAGTGCAAAATGTTTCTGTAAGGACCTACACCTGTCTAAGCTTGGGCTGTGTTGCCCAATATAGGTCCTTGTAGCCAAGATGAAGTGGTATAAAACCATTTCCAGACCCACCTCATAGCCCCTTCACAAGTCCTTGCCTCCTCTTTCCGTCCCGAATCTGTGCCCAGCATTCTCACACCAGAGAAACACTGTTATCCTCAGTGATCCCTGTGTGTTCTGTATTTGACATTTCTGTTCAGAGAATTCAGATTCTTCTCCTGATTACGCCTCTTATGTTCAATTTGAGGACTTCAGTACATGAGATAATGTGTATCTTTCATTTAGGAATGATAGAAAGATTGGTGGACAAAAAATAAAGTGATCCAAACTTTAAAGACCATATTGCAGCACACAGCTCCAAACACTTCATGGAAAATAAATCAAACAGGAAAACACTAATCTCGCATTGGAACACAGAGTGTTTATCAGTCTACATGACCAGGAAATGCCTGAATTTATAAACAATGTTTCCACACATCTGTGTTTCTGCTGTCATACTCTGCACCCTGAGCTCTGTTCTGCAGAAATTTTGTTGTCTTGGTTTATTCATTTCCTTACCAGGTACTCCCCAGGCCTGAGCTGCCACACCTGGCTTGTTTTTTTGGTCTTGTAGTTTTCTGCTATTTACCTGCTAATGCATAAACTTCATCCACATCTGAAGTCCAACAGTCCAGGTGCTGCTGTCTCTCTCAGGAAAGAGCTCAGTCTTGAGACATTCTCAGGGAGGGTAGTGCTCAAAGCCAGGGGAGGCAATGCGGCCAGGCAACAGCCCAGTGGTGGGAGCTGGGAGGGCTGAGCAGGACATTCACTGAGGACTGTGGGTCCACAGAAAGAGGATGAAGATGCTGTCGCTGGCTGAGAGAGTCATGCTGGGCATTGGTTGTGACTTTGTATAGATTTAGCTCTTCTTCTCACAAGAGTTTCATGATGTTATAGATTCTAGACGCCAAGGGTGGAGGATCCATTGCAGTGGACTGATTAACAAGGAAAGAGGGGTGGAGACTCTCTGTTGCATGGCAATTATATCTTATCCTGAGCTAAGGTAATGCAATGAGTCATAGTACTTAGACCCAAGGACTTAGGAGAAAATTTAAAAGGTTATGCTTTGAACACTCTAGTTCTAGAGCCCAGGTTTTGGTATTAGGGAGTGGGAGTGAAAAACTGAGCCCAATCAACAATTCAAGAGTAAGACGGTTTATAAAGAATATTTTGTAACCTGTTTTCCAGCAATTGAGACAACCAACTAAAGAACAAAAGACTTGGTTACATTATATTTAATAATTTCTTCATTAAAAATATTTAGGGGAGCAAAAGATAGCAATACATTTATGTCGCTTTGTTCAATATTTTTCCCTACAGCTGTTTCGGAAATTTTTATCTTTCCTATACCCACTCTGGCCACATTAGATTTCTTAAAGCAAATATCATTATTATATTATTATTATATATTTTATTAGAATATATAGTTACATATAATTATATATTATATTAGAAATTATTTTATTAAACTAAATGCTCTTTCTCCTCAATTTCCAAAATTATTGCTTAGGATTTGACAAGAAAAAATATCACAGAAATTTATAGAGAAGTGAGTTCTGGTTTTCAGCTTTATGATATGGTGTGATCTCGTAGTCATCATGTGAACTACAGAAAAAAGAAAGAACATGAAGGGGAAGGTTGTGACTCTGCCTGTGGCTTATCTTTGCTTGTGATAGAGGAGGAATTGAATTAGTTTAAGGAGGAGGTTGAACTGGATGTGGTGGGCATGCCTTGATCCAAGCACTCTGGGAGGCTGAGGCAGGAGGATTGCAAGTTTGAAGTCAGTCTGGGTAACCTAGCAAGGACCTGTCTCAAAAAAAAAAGGTTGGGGACATAGCTCAGTGTGAAGGCCCTGGGTTATATTAAAAACAAAATCAACAAACCAACTACCACTTGGTCCTGGCCCTTTATGGGGCATCAGAGAAGCGAAGTGACTATAGGTCGGGGTCAGGCCTGCTCCCGCGTGGGCACTTGCCGCAGACGCAGCATCTTTGCCGCCTCTGGAGTAAGTATCATACAGCGGCCAGAGAAGAAACTGAGACAGGCAAAATCTGAGGGAGAAGTGCACCAGGCTTTCCAGCCCTCCCCTGACAGTCATCTCAGAGGCCGCCAAGAGGGCATTCCTCCCCCAGAAGATGAGCACCAACACCTGACCCGGAAGGGATTTACAAATGTCAGAGATGAGAGCTGCTGCTTTTGGAGGAGAGACCTACAGCAACCTTGACATTGCGTAGGGGACGGAGAAAGCCAGAGAGGAAGAGGACCCTGGAGACGCAGGAGCACAGAATTGTCCTAATGCAGACAGAGTGGAGGCCAGGTTCCTCCGGGGCGCTTCCGGTTCTCTTCAGAGTGCTTCCGGTTCCCAGGGGGCAGAGATCGCAGGAGTCACGGTGGTGGGGGGGAAGCATGGTGGAAAGGAGGAGATGTGGCGGGCGAGAGAACAGTCTTCGAGTTAGAAGGCAGCTCCTGCCTCCTGCTGCACCTGTTCAGAGGCAGCCCCGGCACTGCAGGCACACTCTGCATTGTTGTCTCATTGGGCCAGAGCTCATGCAGTCGCCACCTACAGACAGCACTAGTCTCCCTGCAGGGAAACCCTCCTCAGAAGCACTGGGGTCTTTATTAAAATACAGTCTTCCTGGATCCCAGCACAGACCTGACTCAGAATCTGCAGAAACCAGCCACTGTCACAAGCACCAATCTTAATGCTCTGGAAACCTCTGATGTTCACCAGAAGGAGTGGAGGGTGGAATTCGCATCACAGTCACTGAAAGCAGCCTCCAAGACAGGTTCACCGGGACCGAGTTGATGGCTGTGGTCTGGGGAACACCAGGAGCCCTGTAGCTTGTGTGGCAGAGCTTTGTTTCCCAAGAAGGCTGCGGCAACATCTCCTGGCCTGGGCACTCATCAAGGATGTGCCACTCCCTGAAGAGTTGTAGTCCCCATCCCCTAGGCCTCGAACCCAGACAGGGCTTTGCAACCCCCTCAACCCATGAGATCCAGCAGGGACGAAGGATGCGAGGCTGGAACATAAGATGTCACACTGTCCCACACTATTCTCTTCTTATGCTTGTTCTGGAAATACTGCGACCACGTCTTGAGCAAATCCAAGCAGCCCATGCCCAGGTTCATGGGGAGGGGCAGGAAAGTCTGGGGGAGCCCAAGCAAGGGAACAGAGGCTGCATCTTACCTTGGAACACTGTATGGTCCTGATAAGACCTCAGGAGATCCATCCTCTTTGGGGCCTCTTTGTATCTGTGTTCACCCAACTCTGCAATAGTCAATGGGGTCTGAGTTACTGATTTCAGAGTCACATTTGTCAGCCTAGACCTGGCTGTCGCTCCACGTGATGTCAGCAGTCTTTTCCTGTACAGCCCAAGGCCACTCTTGGTCCTGCTCCAACTTTGTCCTGCGGACCATGAACTTGCAGGACAGCAAGGCTTCCATTACATTCCCAGCCCTTAAAATATTTTGTTTTTTAAATTTTGAGATGGAGTCTCACTGAGTTGCCCAGGCCGGTCTCAAAGTTGCAATTCTCCTGCATCAGCCTTCAGAGTAGCTGGGATGACAGGCATAAGCCACTGTGCCCAGATGACCCAAAGGTCCACATTTAAAGACTTCATCCTTTGGGTGGCAATAGCTGGAGGTGCTGTGTCCTGGGAGGTGGGGCCTTAGAAGAGGTCCTTAGGTCACCGGGGACATGCCCCCGAGGGACTGTGGGACTGGAGGATCCAGTCTCTGTCTCCCTTGGCTTCCTGGCTATGTGTGCATGGTTTTGTGCTGATGGGCTCCAGCCATTGCCAGCTGCCTCCTTCTTCAGAAAGGGGCTGCCTGATCCTGAATGTGAGCACCAAACTGAGTTAAGAAGCCTTTTCTCAGTGGTGCTGCTGCCTGCCTTGAAAGTGTAAAGACATGAGTTTGATCCCTGGTACCAAAACCAAAGAAGAAGCCTTTTCTCTTTATAGGTGAATGCCCTGGGGCACTTTCTTATAATAATGTGGCCATGACAAATGCACACATGGCATCCAGCAGCGCTAAATTATTAAGAGTGACTTAGATGCCACTCTAAAATGGAGATGCCCTAGTAGGTATTTCCAGTCATCACTTGCATCTGAGTCTTTACTTCTGTGACTTCTACAGGTAATCACCCTTCCTTATTCCTTTTGCTTTCACTTTGGTGAAAACCTATGAATATTTCAGGCTAATGACTTTAGGGGAAGTGAGTTCCACCATTCCTGCTGCAGGCCCTCTAGAATGCTCCCTCTGCCCTGATGTGGGTGGATCCCTCGCTGAGTCACAGGGGAGATAGCCTGGACAGGCCTGGCTGGTGGCAAAACTCCTGTCACACTCATTTTGAGGTTGATATTTTCCTGCAGCCTGACCAACCCTACATTTACTGAAAAAATACAAAATAGGTTCCGAGAAGTTTCTGAATAATCTCAGTTTGTATGCTTATGGCTTGATTTTACCAACTGCTATCCATTTATAGAGACACATGTAAGCTTATCCTCTAATAAATGGATTTTTTATGTAGAAAATTTATCAATTTTATAAGCAACAAAGGTACTATTGTTATTTATAAGTGATAATCACTATGAACTGTTAATAAGTCTACTACATGTTTTCTTAAAAAGAAACTAGAGATTTAATAAATGTTTTGAAACCATTTTAACTGATTTGAATGAGACTGTGAAAGTTGAGGTGAGGAGTTATTTAATGGCCACAGCATTTCCTTGCAACTTTTAAAATAAAATGTGAATTTCACCTGTAGAATTTTTTTTAAAACCAAAAAACAGGAAGGGGCAGAATGAGTGAATGGACAGATTTATCAGTTTTATCATTTGTCTTCTTTTATATTACTATGTTCCAAATACGGAAACATCCCTTCTCCCACTTTCCAACTGCCAGATTGCTGCATATTTAAAATCTGTGTCAGTTGTGGTCCATGGACAATGTCTAGATCCTGTGGTACCCTATAGACACGTACAATTTTTACGTACTTTTGTATTAGCTTAAAGATTAATGAATTGTTTTAAAAGAGAGGGAAATGTGTGGCACACGGCTCGCTACAATCTATTAGGAAAGGTTGGTACCCACCAGGCACGGTCGTATGAGTCTCCAAGGCCAGGACCTCATTATACTTCCTTCCTTGAAAATTGCATTCATTTATTCATCCAGGAATATTTATCGAGTGACCATAATGTGTCAGGAATTGTGGCTAAGAGCTAGAGTGACCCTGGAGAATGCTCTGCGTGTTTCTAGAGTCGTTGCCTCACGTCAGCAAGTTATCAAGCATGCAAAGGTGAGAGCTTCCAAAAGTTAGAGAACTGAAAATATTCCCTTTCCAGTGATGACCAGAACAGTGCACTGCTACTCTCTCATTTCCTTGGGGATACCCTGTTATCAAATTCTAAGTCAAATTGGCAACATAGGTCATTCTTTGGGATGAATGACAATAGTCAGTTCTTATGAAATAAGGCCCAGGAGGGAAAAAGAATGATGAACAAATCCTCCGTCTGCACTCTGTTAAAGGTGACAGAAGCATTTGTAGCATTGAGGAAGCCCTTTGGAGCAATCAGAGGACAAACACTGAGCTACTGTATCTGGTAATCCAGTGCCACGGACTGAACCTGGTTCATGAAGAAGACATTATCTTGCTGAATGTGGCAAAAATAGCTTGACTAGATTGAACCAGTGTCAACCAGTCATACACACAATGCCATGCTGATAAACACACTCAGAATGGCTTGGGAGGAGAGATTTCTACAATGAACAGCGATTTCCAGGTGAACCTAAATTGCATGCAAATCCTATAGGTAGGGAGCTGGGCTGAAAGTGAGGACTGAGTGAGCCATGGGCTCCTCACCAGAGAGACAGGAAGACCCAAGAAGATCACAGTGGGACCAGGCACTGTAGCTTGGTTCTGGAATGTCCCCCAGAATCCTGTGAGCTAAAGGCTTTCTCCCAAGGTTGGCATTATTGGGAGGGCATGGAAACTTTAAGAAGTAGGGCCTGGGATTGTGAGACTCTGGTCACTTCCTCCTCCTCTCATTTGCTTCCTGGCCTTGAGGCAAATGGTTTTGTTCCACCATACGTATCCCCTGTGGTGGCCACAAGTCCAGACCAATGAGGCCAACTGATTATAAACTGAAATCTTCAAAGCTGTGAGCCAGAACAACCCTTTTCTCTTTGTAAGCTGCTTTATTTCAGATATTTGTCAACATGGCAGAAAGCCGACCAGTACATTGGGAGGGCTTAGAAAACCAAGTTGTCGAGCAGTTTTCCAACTTCAACAACCCAGCCATCAAAAAGCCAGTAACTCTTCTTTGTAGTGGGTGCTTTGAGACATTTGGATAAGTGAGTTGCCCAAACTTAATTCCATAGAGTCTGAAAATTGTTCCCTTAGAACATCTGTCTAGGCACACTACACAGACACAGAATAACACCTCTGTTGATGGCTGTTGGTGGCTTCAGGAGATGAGTGTTCTGTTGTATAAAGACATCTACTCTTTTTCAGTCACAGTGTAGTTAACATAGGCATGGTCAGCACAGGGCACATTCATTGATACCTCAACAGCCACCTGCAACAGACCTCCTGACAAGTCACAGAATTCCCTCCTAGCTCCCAGGCCATAACTCCCTCAACCCAGGCTCCGGGAAGCTGACCACCAACGATTGGTATAGGCTGGCAATTACTTTCCTTCCATTTGTTAAGGCATATTTCACGTGCTTCATGTGTCCAAGGATGAAAGATGTCTTTGAAACTTGTTCTGATAGCAAATCTTAGGTCAGAAAAGAATCCCACTTTTTCCAAGCATCTGTTAAGAAGTGTCTAGTGGTGTTTTCCTTGAACTAATACCTTACGGGAGTTGACAGAGGGCACACAGGCAGAAGCATGCCCATCACAGCAGAAATCCTTGGTACAAAATGGAGCCCAATGTGCAGCTATGAAGAGTCCCATAGTCCCTTGCATACGTACTTTTAAAAACCTCTTTAAGATATATACTTCATGTCAGTCATTTACCATGAGGATTCTGTGGTGTTATTCTCATCCTTCCACTAAACCTGTGAAGCTGAGTGACTTTCTAGGATCACAGAACAACTTGGTGGCCAAACCTGGCTTCTCCCTATCTGAGCAGGCCAGGGTCTTCCTCACACTATGCGACCATCCCGAATGACCTATGGTGTGGCTTCCTGCCTTCTGTTGTCTTCTTCAGTGCTGCCCTTTAAGTCTCATGCACCATTTTTCTGTCATTTGTGAGAAGTGCCAGACTCTACCTCACCTGTGCTCCTCTGGCCATTTCCATTGACATCTCCCAAGATGCACTGACGTCCAGAATGGAGAGGGATACGTGAATCACAAGGAGAGGCAGAAGCATGGACAGTGTGTGGGAAAGCCACAGAAGGGGCAAGTTTAGAAAGTTTTAAGGATCCTCCCCTTGGAAAGGTCCAGTTGGGTCCTTAATGTCCAAGAAAGGACTCCGCTCTGTGAGGGAGGCTTGGGGTCACCTAGAGAGCTCCAGTCTGAAAACCATGTTCTACAATTATCTTGGGTTCACTGAAACAACTTTGAACTCGTTTTTGAGAGCAGTTATTTTTGAGATGTTGAGTCTAATTACCAATTTACATTTGTGTCTGTGTGTGTGGAGAGTGGGGGGGGGCGCTATAGTGCATTCCGTTCTTATATAAGGCATTAAGAGCTCTCAGAAGGTGAGTCACTTGCTTTTGTGAAATTTTTTTCTGTTGCTGCAGTGATTTTGTTTGAGAAATCTGGATAAGTGGGTGAGTTGTCCAAACTTAATTTTCATTGAAGTAAGCATGTGAGAAAAATGAGCAATAATGTTAAATACCTGATATTGTGATCCCCATCAGATAGAGAAATGGATTTCAGATTCAAGCCAATAATCAGTCTTCTCCTTTTCTCTCCCAGTTATTCCTAAATCCCCTAGTGGCTATGGTGTAGCCCAACCTCGTAGCTCTTGTTTTTGCAGTATTTAATTCATTGTTTTTATTCCTTTATCTTTTTAAATACTCACTAAACTAACATTTATTGTATGCAGCTAATATGTTTGCCACAAAGAAGAACTAAATGTCTCAGCCTGTCTGCATCTGTTTTTCCTTGGGGGAGTTGTCTTTAGGAGGGACAACTCTCAAGAAACCTGCAGGAACCCAGAGAAACCACACCCTGATTCCAAGCCTGTTTCATAATACATTTAAAGCCACAGAAGATAGAGAAGAGAAAGCACAGTTATTCAAAGTAGGAGGAAATGA